GTTTGCTGATAAAGTCGAACCTGAAAAAAAGAAAGTCCAAAGCATGTTCGGCGAGATTATCCCGTCTGAAAGTGAATTGAGACGGGCTGCTCAGTGGCTTTGGTCTTGCTACGAATGGTAGGCTCGAGTACACGACGCTGCCATCAGGCATTCATCTAGAGAATGACCAGGGAATGCTCTATATAACAATGAGACGGTCAGCGAGCGGCCAAAAACGGCCGCACTTGACGCCGTTTTCCTGAGTCCTGCTAACTATCTGGGTCTTGCGAGTCCAGTGCACGAATACTCACGGCGTCCCCATCCTTAACTCCACACACGCCCCTGGTTGGGCATGCTGTGGTCCCTGGCCTGAACTCATGCTGCTCACGCGCGGCTGCTTCCTCGATCAATACTGCCATCACCTCGACTTGCAGCAGAGCATCGAGGTCACTTTTTGGAGGGAGCCGTTTCTGGCTCCCCTCACATCCCCCTTTCGCTGTGATTCTATAAGAGTCCCATGACGGCCATGCGATGTTTAAACTCATTTCCCTCGCTTCAGAGCGATTGCCGTGCATTGTCGTCGTCGTCCATCCCAATCACCTACTACCATCCACCCAGGCATTGTGCAGCTTTCAGGTCAAAATGAATTTTTTTTCTCTTTTTTGTTTCTCTCTTTTTGCCTGGTTTTTGATCATGCATCGTCGCTCCCAATTTGATCAGGATGTCACGTCGGACGAGCAGAGCCATGCCAGTGCTGAACTCCCCGACATCTTCTCGAACAGTCCTCCGTCCGATGGTTCCTCCGACAGTGAGACGGAGCCAGACAGCGACGAGTCGGATGATGATGATGACAACGACGATGACGACTCGCTTTTCGACAATGAAGAGCAGCATCCACCGGAATACTATCTCGCAGAGGCTGAGTGTCTTGATGTCTCCCAGCTCCGACAGCAACGTTACAGTCCCAAGACTCGGAAGAAGCTGGAGGATACAGGCGTCATGCTACAGCCAAGCTAACATGCTTCACCTTGTGTCTGGCCAGATACTGTCAGTTCCAAGGACGTGATCCAGTTGAACGCTTCCACTCTCTGCAACCGATGAGACTGTCCGGTACCTCAAAAGCTTGTCAGCTGGTGTTGTGACCAACGGCGGCGGGGCAAGAACCGACACTGAAGTCCTGGAATCAAGCAGAAGAGCTCGTTAGAGACCTTCTAGACGTGGTGGCATCTGGTCTACAAGAGTGTAACAGGGCACGGCTCAACAAAATGACAACCATAAAGATTGAGGATGTGAGCAGACGGTTTTTTATCATCCAACATTTGGCCTTGGTTGATGAGCTGTTACGTGCTCGCGATCATCACAGAAGAAAAGAGTCTCCTACCTGAACGCTGACCAAAAGTGACCATGTATATGAGGATGTTGCAGAGTTTGCTCGGGTGCTTCTTGCAACCACAGAGATGATCTTTTCTAGTGGCTGGCTCCGGACTGAGCTGATTCTCTTCTGTCAGCTTGCTGCTATCACTGGAAGCCGGCCACAGGCGCTGTTGGATCTTCACTACCGACACCTCAAGTTCATTCTCATTCGTGATCCAGATGGCAGGCGTCCTCGACTATTTATTTACCTGAAGCCTGAGTTCACCAAGACATTTCTGGGCAGGGAGCCGTGTGTTTCCCCTAACTTTCCCCATCTATGCAGGGGCTAATATTTTCGCTCTGCATGCAACCACCAGTCCGCAAGCTGCGGCAAGATGAACCATTGTATTTAAGGATTCAAGCAAATGATGAGTCGATCCATCCAGAGACGACATTTCTCTGCAAAATTTGTCGCTGGGTGACGAATGCCCTAGTTAACAATGTTTAGAAGCACATTACAGGTGGTTCATAGCTGTACGAAAGCATCCTAAATGTGGCTGCCCAAAACAGCGAGTAATAGGCGCAGGCTAATTCGGAATACTTCTTGGGTCAACTGCTTGGGAGTGTCCTAGGTTATCCATACTGTATCCTAAGGACCTGAACAATGGAGTTAAAAAAAAAACAATGAGCAGTACGTACAATCCCCTTCAACCATCGCACTGGAACTAGGACATCAACGGAAACCGGGGAACAAGTAATCTGTTAGAGGAGTCTAAGACCTCAACCGAAGAAAAATCATTCGCGAACACAGCTCTCCAAAGCTTGGTACCAGGGACATCTACCCTTGAATTAGCAGTGCAAGCCGAGCAGGGAGTAAACTTACTATAAGGGTGAGGAGGCGAAGTACGACAGTCGATGATAAGCCAATCCCGGAGCCAGCCACTCCGGATCCACTGCATATAACTTCCATTGCCCACAAATCTCTGACAGTGCGCTCCCAATCTGTTACCCTCGCGCAACAATTCTATGCCCCATCCAACGTCTGCAAGTCTGAAGTCGATTCTGCCATTCCCATCTCCTGACCATTCACTGGACACTTTTGTTGAGAACCCGAGAACTGCATGTAATGCACGACAAAATTCGTCTTGATAGGCAGCTTCAACAGGCCGTATAACGGCTCCAGTACCAACCCGTGTTGTGGAAGAAAGGTTTCTCAACGAAAACTTCCTCAATACCGCTTCAGCTAAAGCCTCGACAGTGGGGTATTGATTCATGGGAAAGGGAACAGATGAATCAGTAAGATAATGCTCCACGTATCTGTTCAGATCAGCAGAGTCTAAACATAGTGAAAACAAGGACGCCCACTTTGCATGCAGTCTCGTTGGAAAGACACAGACAATATTAATAGCGTCGAAATCCAACGGTTCAGAGTGAAGCCACCCATTCTCATAACAGGTTATGATCCCTTCATTATCCAGGTCTCGATGGATGCTGCCATTCATAAGAACTTCTCGGAGAACACCTGCTGCTTGAGGGGTAAGTTTTCGTCGGCTTACAAAAGACCGTTGGATCCCCGTCTGAGCAAGATATCTGAAGGACTCATCTTCGTCATTTAGGGTTGCAATAATATGATCCTTTTCAACCACCTGAATCTCCCCATGTTTAATTTCTGACCGATAAACCTGCAACGCATTCCATAAGCAATTAGTGAGCTAGGACAGAAATAAACGTCAGGACTGACCTTCTGTATCATGCCAAGGACACTGTCCACAGCCCCCGGATGTCCGTTAGTCAGGCTGAAAATGTAGTCAGCTGCGTCAGGGTGCAGCGGTAGAGGACGCCGACTATCAGTACATATCCGTTGTAGAACGTCGTCGAATTCGTTGCGGTTATAGAAAAGGCTTATCGGTGGTGAATCTTTGATCTTTGATACGGTGATGGATACTCGCTGCTGAACACCAAGATATGCAAGTGGGCTACCAGCGCTGTAGTCGTTAGGACCCCCAGTAGGACTGCCATACGAAGTGAACACACAAACTCTCGGTCCGAATCGGCGGTTATTCTGAGACTTGATGAATCCCAACCAAAGACCGGAATCATGATATGACATCTGCCCTTCGTCGATGATGTAGACAATGTCTGCATTTCTGAGAGTATCTGCAGTGACAAAAGTGTAACCCGCATCCTGTGCACGGCGAATGAGGACATCAGTGTGCACATGATCATTCCCCTGTGGCCAATCTGAAATTATGACTGATGGTATGTTTTGCTGACGATAATGCTCGTGGAGAAGATAGGCAAGCGTGGTCTTTCCAGAGGCGGGTGTCCCTCTGACGTGGGCTACCCTCTCATCATCGAGTATCCTGGCGAGCTCTGAACAGTGTCATTTCGTGGGCACAGGAATGGATCCGCTACATTATCAGAGTCAGTTACAGTCAGCAACGAAGATGCGGCGCTGTCCAAAAAGGCAAAGAGGTAGGCGTACCCATAACGCACGTGGAAAGGCGATTTGGAAGATTGGAACTTGCTGGCTGACCAGAAGACAGGCAAGTGTCTTGAGCTGTAGCTCCTCGACCGATAAGTCTTTTCAAAAATTCCATCCCGGTTAGAAAATTCAGGAGTTGGAAGCACAGTGATGGTTTATGGGAAGGTAGGACGTAGAAGGAAAGTCGAAGTAGGGAAGGTGCAGGGGCTTGCATATAGCTACAAGGACACCCAAGGAAACATGCGGAGAAAATTGAACATTAGACGGGTTTGTCTTTGGTCAAGTTGTATCAATACAATACAACAAATTGCCGGTCTGCAGGGGAATCGACAATGGTCCTGGCGCGAACACTTGCACGATGCCGGAGACAGCATCCTCTGGCGCAGAAGAAGGCTAGCGGCTATGCAGCAAATCCAGTGTCATCCTGTTGTAGTAGTATTCTGCCACGGCAGAATATCACGTGTTCGCAGGCGGTGAGCTCGAGAATGAGGAAATATTATGGGGGGTTTTATCAGCGAGCGAGCGCGCCATCCCCGAACGGGACACGCTATTCCTGACATGGAAGTGCTAAACCAAGTCAGGATGAGCTAGAGCCTGTGACGGCAGGCAGTGAGCGGCCAATGGACGGTAGCCGTTTCCAGCACCCCGCTAACCGTCTCATCGTATACTATATATAGATAAACGCTTTGTTTAATTCATTTTCGTTTTCCAATTTAATATAATTGCTTATAGCATGTACGGAAATGTATTCATGAGAACAAACACATGACGTCTCTGTAGGGAAGTATGTAGATGAAAATTCAGATAATAATTACATATCTTGCTTTCAGTGTCCAAGTTACAGTAAATGGTGATACTGTCACTCATACTGCATACAAGACGCTACTCAGAATGAGGAGGAGTTGGGGTTAACTAAGGCAATATCGAGAAAACAAACAATATCAGAGCATACGGCTATTTCGGCTACTCGGAATACCATGGTTTCAGGTTCATTCTGTTTAACAGCTAAAGCAATGTACCATACAAGATCAATCATTTTCAATATCCCACACAAACGAGGGTTCTGAACCTCGAACCGGTTGTCCGTCTATTCCTTCAGTCTGAGGAACAAGGCAAGCGCATTGGCCCGGTTGATCTCGTGAATGAGATTGGGATTCTGAAATTTAAAGCTGTCCAGACCCTTGGTGTGGAAATCCACAATCCCGTCGTGCGCATACGGCGTATCGCTGCCGTAGAGGATGTGGCCCGGTTTGGCAAAAGTCTCGAGGATGCGGAGCACATTCTCGCTGCCCGCTACGGCGAGGTCCCTGGTATACAACATTTTTTTTTCTCTCTCTTTTCCTCATCTATTTTATCATCATATTATTATACTTCATGATACGTCCTCTCGCTCTCCCTGTTTTCCTCTTCCTCTTGCTAACTATGTATATAAGACACCTTCTTTAGGTAATTCGATCACATACCATAAAAGTACGACAGATAGCGACCATGGTTACTAAATACTATGTAGAGTACATAGACAGTTATCTGTGAAATTGCACATTGCACATGGGAGTCTTTAGCACGATTTTAAGCTCAAGCTTGCCATTCGACCAGGCACTTGGATCCATGTCATAAGGACACCGCATGCGAATGGGAATTCAAATATGGAGAAGATGTGGACGTACGAATATTTGCAGATAACTTCTCTTGGCATCTTCTGGTAAGTCACTACGTCTCTCATTATATTACCGACGAACCGCCATCTCCACGATCACAGTGGTACAAAATTGGTTGCCGTAATCAGCGCTGCAGTTCAGTATTGCTTTCCTTTTTATAGATCACATCCATGTGACCTGCTGAAATGCTGTGCTCATTTTTGCCTTTATGCCAAGACGATGATTTTATTATTTACATACCTTACAAAAAAGATCTGTTATCATAGTTGCAGAACATGAGGTCAGATTAGTTTCCTGAAGTAGTATATTATGCAGATAAACCCTGGCCTATGTACTATGCTAAAATAAATACTGCCAGGATCTGCTGACATGCATTCATGGCAAGGTCTTATATAAGGCTTGCTTTTCTAATTGGCCTAATGGCTTATAGACTTATGTCTATATTTTGACTAGTCTTGACATTAAAAGAAAGTAGTTAGTAGGAGGCAATATGCCCAGTAAGCTGCAGGAGAGTGTTAACTTAGGGCTTAAAAATATAACAGGGGAATGTTAATTATTCTCTCCCTTATAGGCTTAGTATTTTTAGAAAGGATTACATTTAAGCTTTTTAAAAACAGTCTAGAAGGACAACAGACAATAATCTTCTCTTCTAATCATCTATTAGCCAACCCGGTAGTCAGGTGGTGAAGTGGCTGCCATGGTGCCAGGGCTGGTCTCCAACCAGCTAGGTGCGGGTTCGAAGTTGGCATAATTAATTTCACCCACCCAGCCTAGGTGTAAAATTAGGGGCGGATGGTAAGCTCATGCCTCAACTAAGCTACTTGTACTATAGTTATAGAGCATAATACTTAGGGGCTTAGCTCTAGGCCTTATAGGTATGACTATAACTATAATATAGGGCACCAATTCAGGGAAAAGGATTTAAAAACCACCCGATTAGGGCACCCTGGGTAGCTGAGACATCCCTATAGAGCCCATAAGGGGAGGGAGCAGCTACTGGATAGTTCCTAGGGCTTAGGCTCTAGGGGCAAGACCATGACGGCTAATAGGTAGGCTGTGATGCCGATATTAGCAACTGGAAGCCTGGAGATAGGCAGCCTGGGTACGCCTTACCTAGTGGTGACCTGCTAGGGGCCTAGGAGGTGCCCCTACTACCCCCCTTAGGGGCCCATAGGGGGGGTAGCCTATAGGGGTGGGAATAGGTGGCTGGCTAAGGAAGGGTGGGCAGTGGTAGTATAGTGGGAACATAATTTCATCCAATACAACTCGTTACTAAGATACTTACTCTGGGGGTCAGTAAGACTTCTTACTACTAGTGGTATACTTCAGTATAGCTCTAGTAGGCGTTGCCTCTGACCTAGTCGTTGTTGCTATTTCTATCTTGGAGTAACCTCACTTGTTGTGTATCCCTGCAAGACCCCTATCATACCTGCGAGAAGGTCGTTCGAGGAAGAGCCCTTCGCCAGCTAGGCCGTTGTCTCAAGGAGAGGAGACCCGGGTCAGTCCGACCGTCGCGTGCTCGTGAACGACATAGAGTCAGGAAGACTCCTTGATCCTTCCCTAACCACCACTGTTAAGTATCCACGACTACGGTTGGACCCAGCACGTAACACTTGCACAGACTGCTGAGTCTGGGATGGTGGCTGCTGGTTGCAGTTTGGGGTCAACATGGTTACTGATAATACTTGATCATTCAGTAACCAGGGTCAAGACGGCGCTCAATTTGTTACGCACTGGGTCCAACTGTACGGTTGGACCCAGCGCGTAACACTCCCCTTTGTGTTTTTTTTTTCTGTTCTTTCTCTCGTTTCTTTGTCTTTGTTAAATCCACCTATACCTACTATTCCTTAACATTTGATTTCTTTACATTATACTACTGCCTGTCTTCTCATTCCCTATTTCTGTCCCTCATAGAAGGTTCCCACTGTTGACTGGTCTATAGCATCACCCACCTGTATATAGATATTAGCTACTAAGCCCTACTGCCTAGGTGGTAGGCAGAGCGTGCATAGTCTCTGACTGAAAACGCTCTCTAAAATGGAAGAAGAATAATAATAATCTATAGAGCAGTGGCTACTAACACTCCAATAATTAGTATATTGTTGGAGCCTGAGGCTCTAAGGCCTAGTCTTAGATTGCCTCACTGCCTGCACTAAGTCATATCTTAGTTTCTGCCGCTAGGTATCAGATAGAGAGTTAAGCTGTTCTTCATCTCTCTGGGAGGCATCAGAGTATTAGGTTATGGGCCTAGGGTGTCCTTTTTGAAGCCAAATACGTGCTTTAACCCTCGTGGAACAGCTTCATCATCTTTAAACGCGCTTATTAATTGTGTAACATGCATTCAGCATTAATATCATTAAAATGGTGACCCAAATTAATGGCATTCCAGCTAAAACAGTGATCAGCCTCAAGAGTCTGCCTAAGAAACTCAAAGGATCTGAGAATTATACATCATAGAATATATATGTTAAAAAGATGCTCAAGATAGAGGATTTAGACACATTGATTAACTCATCTATTCCTTAGCCCTCTGCAAATTATCTGAATTATAGCTTGTGGAGGCAAACTTCAATAAAGATAGGCATGTAGCTTGTCAAATAGCTTGATGCCAGACTTGTAGAGAAGCTAGATCTATCTCCCAAAAAGGAGATAGATAGATAATTTTCCATCGCATCTCTGGAACAATGCCAGTTTACTTTAATTTCAGTTTTGTCGATGGAACGAATGTATGTATGAGATGATTAGTTAATATATAGCTTGAATTCGTGATCATAATTCAGGTAAAAAACTAACTGGTCATTCCATTCATCCCACCTATCCTATGCTAGATATATCCCGGGGTATCAAAGTCATTAATAATCTAATGAAATGTACTGTACAGTCATCCACGCAACCCTTCAAAACAACCAAACCCAGACATACTTCCCACGCCAAGCCAAGGTATAAAAATAAAAAAATATATCGAGAACTTAAAAGTACACACACCAAACCAGCTGGGCCAATCTGTCCCGTTCACTCCGTGTCCGACCCGTAATTTACCAACGCCGTTGATAATGCTGGTGTTGCTTTCGTCGTTGTTGTCGTTGTCGTCGTCGTCGTCGCAGCCTGACCTGCAGGCGCTTGTTTTTCGTCTGGTACTTCCACTGCCGCTGCCTCTGCCAGGGGATTTTGCTCGGGGGTTGAGGTTGCAGTCTCTCCATTTCCATCACCATCAGGCTCAGCTTGGACCTGATCCCGGGGTGTCGTCTGAGTCTTGCGCGTTTTCAGCAGTGCTGGTTGCCAGGTGATTTGGCCCTCGTTGAGAAACGGGTCTAGCGCGGCGCGGGTGTTCCCTCGAAGCTCGCTGCTCAGCAGAGCTTTTCTTTCCGCGGCAAGAGCCTCCGATTTCAGTCGCTTCCCGCTTCCTCCACGCTTGTTGTCGCGGGAAGATGACGGTGACCGGGACGACGTCGTTTCGAACATCGGCTTCAAGCGACTCGCCCTGGCGGAATCGTCGGAAGAAGCGGAACCGAACTGCACGAGACCGGCGCGCACGCGATCCTCCTCCATTTCTTCGAGCAGGTCGATACCCAGACTCATCTTGTCCTTCAGCGCTTCGTTGGCTGCGTCCGCTCTCTCGAGCCGCTTGCGCTCCTCGCGGAAGGCCCTCCGCAGTCGCTTCGACTTCTCGTATGGATCCTCCCAATCCCGGTCCTGGCGTTTCTGCAGCTCCTCAATCCGACTTTTCGCTGTCTCGAACTGCTTCTGGTCTTGGACTTTGCCCTCGAGACGCGCGAAGGCGTCTTTCTCCGCCTCGTCCCCCGGCCCAAGACGGATAGGGATCTCGCCCGGCTCACCGGTGAGCTTGTCCTCGCCCGTGTCGCGCTTCCTCCCGCCTTCCGTGACGACATACGCGGTGTTCTTCGGGTCGGTGCGAATCTCGATCCATCCGCCGCAGAGCGTGTGTTTCATGCGAAAGCTGTAGATGGGCGTGGAATAGTAGTTGCCGACGCGCTTCTTCTCGGCGTTGAAGCGGACTCCCTGGCCGATGAGCACCTCATTGGGCTTGCAGTTGGTGCACCAGATCGCAAAGGGCATCTCGAAGCGCACGATCAGGGCGCCTTTCGTGTGGAGGTGGCGCGCGCGCGCACCAAGAGGGTGTTTCCCGGCGAGCTTGTTGCCCGTCGTGAGACCCTCCTGGTCGGGGGGGGACATAACTAGAAGATTGTCAGATGGCTGTCTTTGAAAGAGAGTCTGCTTCGAAAGCTGCAACGTCAACACATACCGTCCCATATCTGGAAGAGAAATCGATGTTAGCAAGAAGACCCGAAGTGCAAGACGGCAAAGATGGGAAAGAACTTACTGAAGCCCTGCATTGTGGCTGAACGATCTGGAAATCACCCTGTATCAAACATGTGAAAAAAGATGATATCCTAAGCAAGAGACACTGGATCACTCGGTCTGTCTGTACCGTTTCCCTGGTCTGAAAGTGCATCGCAGTCCGAGCGGGACGTCGACGTCCGCCACGACAACACTAGTCCGTATTAGGTATAGCTTCACCAGGTACCTCGGTTTCCAGTTAGTGTGATGCCTTAGGCGGTAAGGCAGCAACGAGACCACTTATGACCAATCTTTCGGACGAAGCACATTGGAAAATGGAGAATATGATGCTGTGGACCTTTGGTCATACACATTTCAACTGCGATTTCGTCGACCTCAATACTGGAAAGGGAGTAGTGGCTAACAGAAGGCGCTATATTACTGAGCCCAATCTGCAGGCTTCAACACCAGAAAGGTCATTCAAATCTGAACCAACGGCGAAAAAAAATACCAATACCATATTGACGATGATGACAAAATTTATTCAGTCAGTGGGCATGTAAAAGCTTTCTGTTGATTAGGTCATTGCGCAGCCCATCCAGGATGGAGAATACTTGGCTATCCCCAATCTTCAGTGCACGGAAAAAGGATCTATAGCACACCGCCAGGTCTTCTTCCTTCATGGCTTCTGTTCCATCAACATATTCAATTATATATGTCAGTAGCGACATCCAGTACATCTCGTGGCGGCTAGCTAGATCCCGACAAAGGAGAGTGATGATAGCCTCAGTGTAGCGTGGAGCTGTGGGGATCCGGACAGGATGAAGGTGCGACGGAAAAGCACCCTGACCACGCCCGAGAGACGCAGACGGAAGTCTAGAGTCCGACGCAAGCATAATGTTGGGATTTTGGGGGTCAGGGAATTCAAGTCCAAAATCGGGAAACATCCAGAGCACTTGAGACTTTTGGTATAACGATATCGTAAGGTTGTCATCAATATGTACGTGTACTGCTGGAGGCGGAGAAGGCAAGGACGGGTCGGATTTGGTACAATTCAAGCCCTGTGTACACTGTCGAAAGCCAGTAGAGAGGAGAGTGGAGTAGGCCGTTGACAAGACGTTGTCTGGCACAACAAAAGCGAAGCCCTGTCGGAGAGTTAAAAAAAATATATCTCTGTGGCAATTTTAACCTCAAATAAACCAGGAAAACTAACATCAACAATGGCAGGGACTCCGAAAACCGCGAGCAGATAATTCCCCCATAGGAGGTTGGGAACATTGGCTTCATCAAGGGCACCAGCGACGGCCGCAACAAGCTTGTTATCCAGTCTCTGATTGTCAAATTTGAAACCAGGCATCTTTCGAGTACATCCAAGCTAGGTCACAAGAGGAGCCAGATCCCACAAGAAGTGTTTTCTCTTGCGTGGATAGGTTAATGAAAAGAGACTGGAGACTCATGTTGGAAGACAAAACCTGCCTGCAGAATACTACTCATGTCATGTGATGCGCATGACTGTATGGTGGTGATCGATCCCATCATTATTTGCATTGAATACAGTAAAGCACCAAGACTTGCTCCAGGCCCCTGTAGAGTCTGTTCAGAGTGTTCCTGGATGTTACAAGGCAAAAGAATGCTTGATTGGATTACATGGCCTCTCAGGCTATAATACTATATATGTGCCAATTTGGCTGGCAACATGAGGGTAATACAAAACCTAAGAAGGTTATCTTTTAATACAAGATTCAATGAAAACTTATAGGATTCATCTAACTACTCTAACTAGGATAACTCTTATGTTTGGCACATTTTGCAGAGTACAAACCCTCATAGTCGGCCATATTTTTCTTTTCAGGCTTGCGAGATACCACGTGGTTAATGTTGGAATTCATGGCATACCGGTCTAACTGGATTCGGTAGTCATATAAGCTGATGTGATACATCATATTGGAAGCCGATACCCCGCTTCTTACAATAAGGCTTATACGCCAGGTCGCCCACATCTGATTAGAATTAGGAATAAAGTCTCCTTCATATCATTATATTGTCTTCTATAGTGATGCTTGTAGAAGCTTCTCCCCTACATGCTTATAGCCATAACCTCAACAGTTAACACGCCCACGTGGTTGACTGTACCACGTGGTTAGCCAGATTCATGGTCTACCATAGGGCTGGTAAACTCCTATGGTTATCTATGCCTTATGGTTGGTCACTTTCTACAAGAACTATTGTCTACTTTATGGTTAGTTATTCCCTGTGGTTTAGAGTCCCTCATAGCCATGTTCATGAAATT